GTCTCTATACCTACATATGATAAACTATATTATTCCCACACTTTATATTTATAAGATACTCATTTAGTCTAGTATGTTGTCATAATAATGATATCAGACATTGGCTTAGTATTTTGAAAGGGGCTAGGCTCCCCTTAACAAAATACGGATCACATCTTTTGGGGGTATTTTTCATACTCACAATGCATGTTTCACGATATTACATACATGTATTTATTTAGTGTAATGGAATAACTAAGTTCGGAAGAAATAAATGAAAATTTCAATAATACCTGGAAGAGAACAATTGTCACCGTCATCAATCTGTTGTGACATCCATAATTAAGTTAATCTGTCTGTTTGATCACAGTCATTACAAATCATTGTCATTAACTTGAAGAATATCTCATTTCCAAACATGCAATTTTAATCTACAACAAGCTCAGCAATTGTAAAGGAATCAATAGCTGGGCTAGTGCTCACAGTGACCCGACCCTATACTAGTACGATATGTATATGTCGCTGACATGTATAAAGTATTTATTTTTGTATAATACATATAGGCGCCATGATCAGCGTATAAAGTCCGTCCAGTCAAGCATTAATGGATTTAGAACTGGCTGACACACTTAAGCTTTGATCTACAGACCTCGACAAGTTTTAATATTTATGTTGTACCGTATAACGGCATAACATAGAGTTTTTACCTATACAGCTGACGTCAGCATTCCAAACAGGCTACAACATTGTATCACATGACATTTACTAATTTTAGAAACTGAACGGATGTATAATATTGCGATTCTGTGGTAAGTTTCAAATATCTAAATATAGCTCTTATATTTGAATATAATTATGATTGACGCAACACCTACATACCGTTGCTACTTATAAAACTTCATATCAGTATATATAAATATATAATTAGATGTTATCTAAGTCCAGGTTAATACTAAGATCGAAAGCTACTACACAGATCGGCTGTGACTACACAAATCATTACTACACAGATCATAGTACACAGGTGGATACACAAATTGATGTAGTTGCTACACATATCGATATATAGTTATTACACAAATCGTTACTACACAGATCATGGTACACAGGAAGATACACAAATTGATGTAGTTGCTACACAGATCGATATATAGTTATTTCACAAATAGTTACTACACAGATCATAGTACACAGGTGGATAAATAACTTGATGTAGTTGCTACACATATCGATATATAGTTATTACACAAATCGTTACTCCACAGATCATAGTACACAGGTAGATACACAAATTGATGTAGTTGCTACACAGATCGATATATAGTTATTTCACAAATCGTTACTACACAGATCATAGTACACAGGTGGATAAATAAATTGATGTAGTTGCTACACATATCGATATATAGTTATTACACAAATCGTTACTACACAGATCATAGTACACAGGTAGATACACAAATTGATGCAGGTGCTACACAGATCCATATAGCGTATATATAGTTATTACACAAATCGTTACCTCAAACTTGATGGAATCTCTAGTAAGTACACTAGAATTAGTTCCTATTTTGATTGGTAATTATGAAGATCGATTACTACAAATATATACTTTGTAGATAGCTACTTTACTTATATATATATATATATACCCTTGAATCAATGACACATACAGATATTTTTTTTAATTTACCCAAACCCGACAAAAATGTTGAAGGAAATATAAAAACTACATAAAGAAATCCAAGTTATGGAGATCAGTTTTAATTCGTGAATATCTATGTTTTCATCTTCACATTTATAAGTATGAACACTAAATCGTGATATTTTACCCTTATATATTGATATGTGTTAAGACTTTATACAATGGGTCTTATGTCACTCGGGTACTTTGTGTAGAGTGTAAGCTATTACCGCCACAGACACGTGATCTTCATTTTTGTCACACGAGAAACCGTCTTGATTACAGCATCATGTGACTACGTATGACTTTTCATAATATAAAATGGTACTGAATTGTACTTGGTAGCCGTAAATGTTGAATATTTATAATGATGATTAGTATTTCTGATGATTATGATTGCCGAACCGATGATGATGATTTCTGATTTCTGATGATTCCTAATGTCTGCTGCTGCTGATGATGATGATATTCTTTTATATGATTTGTGCTCGATTTTCTTAAACCGTACATGCACATAAGTCACATAATGTCATACAACTGTCTTCGGAATCTAAGGCGGTCGGCTAGGGCCAAATAACAAATATCATTATCTCATCTCTCGTCTTCTTAGGCCGACAACGCCGGATTACGACGGAGACCTGCCTTTTGAGACAAATTATGTGAATTATATATATAATTAGGTTGGTTGCATCCAGTGGAAACAGTAAATTGAAAACAAATTACAGCCTGATTAAAAATAACTGAGGTGATTTTTTTTCAATTTCTGCAAACATATATAGATCTATATGTGGATTTTTAAAACAAAATGTATGTCCCACTTGTTTTTCCTTCCCTTTGTAATTATGAAAGCTATTCTAAAAATATGTATTTATATGTTGATATGGGGTGTAGCCCTAGATTTTTTAGCTCTGATGTTTATTTTGAAGTTATTTTTATATAAACATGCACGGACCTAGATAGCAATCTAATCTAATTCCGTGAAACATGTTACATTTTGGTGAGTTGTTCTTTCGGGTAAATGTTGATAGACTAGTCATTTTACCACATACCGAGTACATGACCTCTAGAATCAATATTAGAGATTTTTTCTCACACCATGATATAAATAACCTTGGTGTGATAAACTGTTTATCACCAATCAGGCTGAGACGGATACATTGTTCTCCTAGTCACGGTATTCTACTGTGTACGCTGAGCGGAGCAAGGAGCTATTCCTGCCTTTGGTTGTAAATAAAATCGATATACGTTCAATGGGAATTGCTAACTTTTTGAAAAGTTTTGTCTATTATATTTTCGATAAAGGAATTTATGTTAATATACTAAATAAACAGAGTTCTAAGTTTTAAAAAAGGAAAATTATGACATCTTCCGTCTTCATTCTATAAATGCTAATTTCCCGCCAACTTCGTGCGCATGAGTACTGCCACCATAGTCTATATTGGCGAAGTAGGCGAAGATGGCGGGAAGTCTGTTGAGTGCGTGGCAGATTTTAACAAATTTAACGTGATTTATGCTATGACTATACAATATTTCGCTGATGACTTGATACTTCAACATTCCATGTAAGTAAAATTTACGTTATCGATATAATTTATTGTATTTCTCATCTAAAAATGCATTTTCTGTGGCGTGAAGTCGCTGCGGAATTTTGATCCCACATGTTACACATCTTGACCCTGTTCTGGCAAGAATACTCATAGTAATAGGCATCTATTCGTCAATAAATCAAAATCCCTGTGTTATATATGATGATAAAATGGCCAACAAGCTTTTATCTCAAAAAGTGCAAACGTCTCCTTTTTAATCTGCCAGTTGGATTTTCATTACGAGGGTGGAATTTTTGCACGCGCTAGCGAGAACGGACGGCGCATTTCCGTTTTACTAAGCTCGTTCAAAACACGATGCATTGAATCCTGGTATGTTTGTAAGGTGTGTAATAGACAAAAGGTTTGATTGTGTAATATTGTACAAATTAACATGGTATAACCACAATTTTGCTATATGAAACGAAAGAGGTAGCCATGGCAGACAATTTTTCATCGCGCATGTCCACCTGTCTGGAAATATGCTGGTATGACCTTACAAACGGAAACGAAAATGGATTATGTATATTTTACAGTCGAATTGGACATTATTTGCATATATTATTGCTAGTATAATCACATCATTCATGTTTTCAACTGTTCATAGTTTAAAATCTCTGTTTGTGTTGATATGAACACTGTTTTAGCGATGTGGGTATAAAAAGAGGGGAGGATTAAAGGTCAAGGTTAAATCAGGACGTAATCTTCTACGAAAATAGACCAGCAATGGCGGTGTTTTATATTATCGTAGTGACGGAATCAACAGCTTAATATGCTCCTTTACGAATTCGTATTGATTCTTTTGAAATGAAAACATGTAAGCCTGCGTTTGAAATATCTATTAAAACGGACTTACTTTCGATATAGCGTTGGATCATGGAGGACGTAATAGTGGTTGTCTTGCCCCATTGATATTTAGCTGAGAGAAAATCCGAGAACTGTTATTGTCACCACAATTTTTTCTTTATTTGATGCAGAATTAAGGCATACAAAAGGAATAATTGTTACATAAGTATATCTTCGGGAAGCCTTATCCATTTCAGTGTGTATTTTTTATGGTCAGCATAATCAGGTTGGGGAAAACCACCAACTTGCGTACTATACGCCAATAGCCTATTATATGCAAGTTGGAGTAGGGATTTGTTACTAAAAATAACCCAAATCGCTTTAACAGTAACTTTTGCAAGATAATATTGAAAAAAGCATTAGTTTACGACAAGGTAAATAACATTTTGCTAAATATGTTGACTGAAAGCGTTGGCTACTTGAAAACTTGATGTAACTTTACCAGAAGTATTGCATCTATTTTTATATTGATATTGGAAAATCTTTCATCTGACAGTGTACAATATCAAATCATGCAAGATTATTTTTCCAATAGTTTGTCAACAGATAAATTTGGTTTTCCTGTGTTCGTGTTAACATTGCAGATATTTTACGACACTGTTTACGGCTTGCCCTGTTTACAATGTACAATATCATTACAGTTGCGCAACACAAATGCTTTATTCTAATATATATCCAGTGTGGTCAATTTGAGACATTTATCACGACATGACATTTATCATGAACAGGAAAAATAAAAACTTCAGATGTTATCCAAGCCCCCAATTCATACTCTCCCCCTGGCTCTGGCCTGCAGCCACCCTTCCTGCCAGAGGGTCATACACCTATAGTACGAGTTTTCCCCTTTTTAAAAAAAGAACCAACTTTCTTTTCCTGCATTAATCCACATACCATTTTTTTGTTTTCAGTTGACAGATACATTTGGTACAGAAAGATAATGGCTTCTCCTTTGTTGCAATCAGAGGAAAATTCACCTGCAGACTCTCCGATAGCTTCACCACTTCCTAGCTTAGAATCTGAAGAACATGCTTGTCCTATTTGTGAAGAGAAGCTTAACCAGCCGAAGGTTCTTGACTGTCTCCATGTATTCTGCCAAGCTTGTTTAGAAAAGGCATTAGAAGAGCCTTCTGATGGAGGAGATGCTTCATCTGGATACATAAAATGTCAAACATGCAAACAAGAGACGAAGGTCCCAACCAAGGGACTGCAGGACTTGCCAGCAGACTGTGTTACTGTGGATCTGTTGGAGATGTCCTCAATCGATGACATGCAGATAGTCTGCACCAGTTGTAAAGCCAAAGAGAAGGCAGTTGCCAGGTGCAGCGACTGTGCAAACTTCCTGTGTACTAACTGTGTAACGGCTCACCAGTTCATGAGATGCTTCGATAATCACAAGGTACTTGCAAGTCGTGTGGATTTATGTTTTAGGAATATTTGTAAATCCTTTTCAGTAATTGATATATATATTCAAGGGTTGAAAGGCATCATTTTAACATTGATCATAGTGTTGATATCATTTCTGGTCAAACACATTCCATGATGTACAATGGTTTATCTTGGAGAAAATGTTCGAACTATGTTGCATACTATCATAAATGTTAAAAAGATGATTTTGAATCTTGTTTTGACAGTGAAAACAAAGAAAATATTATTTCAGTAAAATGTCATACAAACTGTTTTAGCAAAGCAAATAGTGAAACTGCTGGTGATTTATCTTCTGCAAAACTGGACAAACTGGGTAATTTCCTCAAATGTTGAAACCTTGAATAGGAGGGGGGAAGTGATGTTGAATCTCTGAATGTGACATGACAAATATATGTTTGTTAGTTGAATAGACTTCCACACAAACGTTATCACAGGTAAATCTTGTTTGAATATAAACACATCACATTAGGTGATCAAATCTTTCACAAGCAGATATAACATCAGGACACAATGCTCCATTACCTGTAATACATTCACTATATACATATCAGTCTACATGTTTGCATTATTTTGTGATTTGATTATTTGCAGGTGGTTTCTTTTGAGGAAATTCAGAAAGGAGATGGACTTCCAATCCACAAACCAATTTATTGTCCAACACACTCCTCAGAAACTATGAGGCATTTTTGTAGCACATGTGAGGTATGTATATTTTAGGCTGCAACGGTTAGAAATAATGGCAGTCGGATAACTGTGTATTTATCCAAACCGTAACCAGGTAACCATGTTTTTCTGTGTCCTGAAATACAGCCACCAATGGCCCTTTGTTTTGATAAAAATATGATAACATAATAAATTGACATTTTGTCAGATCCTCAAAAAATATCGATATAACTACGTGTTATTTCTCTAATAACTATCTAAGAGACGTTCCTATGATGAGAAAAGGTACTTCAGATATTGACAATGACCAGTAGATTACTGTATGAGAAGTGAACATACCTTTTCCTATCTCCTGCTGACGAGTCATTATGATAGTGATCGTAACACAAACAAATTATAATCAGGTTATAATGCATTTTTGGTAAAGTACTTAATATGACATTTATTATCGTGAATTTAGTTAACCCATTTGAAATTGAGTAAAATTGAGTTGGTACTGTAAAGTTTATGTCCCACTATCCCTTCGCTGAAAAAGAATGTGTTTTTATTCTGGTGGCCGTACTTCGGGATTTCGTCTGTTATAAATTTAGCAGTACCTACAAAACATCGCACTGACATTGATTACGTAATGACGCTTATAGTTACCACGCTTGAATACAGTCATGATTCAAGCGAGAATCAAGAAGAACGGGTGAAAGGGATGTTATTGGATTAAACATAAAAAGGAACTGTGTGTATCTCAAGAATTTCAGTTCTTCATGGCAAACCTACAAAAACTATCTTTTTCATGACAATGTTTTAAAATCGATCTTTCATGTGCTAGATTGATTATCAAATCGATCTCGTGTCAAGCTCGATTTAATCCATGTTTCTGGTTATTGGTACAACACGAGTTGTGTAACAAGAAATTTTCATAATCCATACCTGCCAACCTGAAGAAATTGTTTAGAAATGACTTCTCGGTTCATCTATTGGAATGCTTGGAATGAGTTCATATTTGAGACACCATAGAATAACGTCATCTTTACCATTTATAGAAATTGGGGGGGGGGGGG